ACAACAACAACAACAACAACAACAACAACAACAACAACAACAACAGCAGCAGCAGCAGCAGCAGCAGCAGCACCAACAACAACAACAACAACAACAACAACAGCAACAGCAACAGCAACAACAACAACTACTACTACTACTACTACTACTACTACTACTACGACTACGACTACGACTACGACTACTACTACCACTACGACTACTACTAATAATAATGATAAGAATAGTGGGAATAAGACTATATAGCTATGAAAATGACAATACAGCTAATAACAACACTAACAACACTAGTACTAGTACTGCTCCCGCTACTCCTACTCCTCCTCCTCCTACTACTACTACTACTACTACTACCACCAATCATTAACCATAGCCAATACGAGTAACGGTAACAATCAACAATAACAAGCACAGTCATTGCGATGCCACCAGCGATCAGAAGTAATCGTATGCGCAGCGATAAAGACGACGCAACACTAATCTTCTACTAGCTGGCTGCTCTGACCACATACCGATTGTGTTTACATTGAACTGCACTGCTTTCGCTGGCGTGATTGAGTCACGTGTGTACAAGCGCGTAGCGGCGTAGCGTGTACGTAGTGACGTAGTATGCAGTTGACTCATTCGCATCCCCACTACAAACCCACGAGGCCGAAGTTTGTTTGTGGTTGTTGCAGGGTCCAGCCCATTGACATACAAAAACAAATTTGTTTGGAGCCGCTAGATCACCGCTACATAGATCACTCTGCTCTCCCCAAGAAGCTTGCCACATAAATCTACCGGCGGCTCACATAAAGGCATGCACGGTTCGCCTACATGCGGCTTTCTAAGCTCTTTAAACAAACTGGCGCTGTTTCTTTTTAGGCCTCATGAGGTTGTTAAAAGGGCTTCTACATGTTGGTCGCCCTACCCACGTTCTGCAAACTCAGTCCACCCAAAGACAACCGCACGGCATTATATACGTATGTATATATTCATTCTTATATATGTATGCACGTATAGAAAGGTATGCAGATATATAGTATATACGCATATATATATATATATACATAGTCTGGTCCTGCCTGCCCATCTAACGCCGCGTCGTCAGCCTGGTCGCCGGCCCATCGCAGGAAGCCACTTGCCTCGTGGCTCACTTGTACGGCACGGCGAGCCATCATTGAAGAACAAAGCGGTGGGAAAATGGTAAGGGCTGAGCCAAGTTAAACACCCCAAGCAGGCAGAAAAAGTAGGCCTGCAGAGAGCTTGCCATTGAATGTAATTTATGGTGGCTTCTGTGCACAACTTTCACAAGCGTCAGCATCAGCCACACTGGCCTCGTTGGCTCCCTGGAGGATACTACGGGTCGCAAGGCAGATAGAGATGCCGGGGATGAGGACGTAGAGGACGAAGACCAAGGTGGCCTGGCCGAGGCCAAGTGGAGTGGAAGTCGAAACCACATGAACCGCGCTACGTGGTGTACGAAGTCTCCAAAGAAATCGCATGCATTGTGCTGCTTAGGGACCGGAATGCTGAGGAAGTTGTCCAGATTCTGCTGCACCTGAATCCACACGTCCCCGCCATAGAAGCCTCTCCCTCTCAGTGTGCAGCGGGCACCAAACCACACATCCGTAGAGCTTGGGGCTCAGGGGCTTGTCCGCCTAAAGGCCCTTCGACAAGGAGAATCGAATCATGATGGGAGCTCAATGGCACATACAAGAAATGCTAGTACCCACTCCTAAGGCGCATGCCCACACCACGCCCAGCACTCCCAGAACCTGTCAGGGCTCACATGTTCCTGTGCTAATTTCTGAAACAAGCGGGTCTTTGTCTTGGTCATGAGGGGATTGCTCCACGCCGGTTTTGGTGCCAAGGCAGGTTGCTGAGGTGCGATTGGCCGCGCTATGTAGCACGGTTGAGGACTCTGCAGAAAGCAATATTTGAGGTGCAGTGCAGGCATGGTTTGCAGGACGAGCTCGTGCACCAATCGGCCTGAAGAACCAATGCAGCAATGACGATCACTGCCAGCGGAATCTCCTCAGTCGTCTCAGAGTTTTCATTCCGACGGGATGTCTTCCTAGTTATTGCAAGCTTCGAGCCCATTCTACGACTTGGGCTCTGGCCAAGCGCTGCGCTAGGAGGGGATAGACCTGGCGCGACACGAGCCTTTCATGGCAGTCTGTGCGAAGTCTCGACAATACCAGACGAGTTCAATTCAGGAAAAATGTAGTTCCGGGTAGTGGGAAATAGGACAAACAGTGAAGGCACCTCAATCGTCGTCACTTCGGAGATGATTTGCTTGGTGCTATCACGAGGAGTAGGAGTAGCAGTAGCAGTA